TGTGTTTTTCTGTCAATATGGGGTGCTGTGTGTACATTAATGAGGAAAAAAATGAACTTAAATGGTTTTAGCATATGGCTGCAATATAACAAAGAGTGAAAAATTTAAGGGGGTCTGAATACTTTCCGTACCCACTGTATGTCAGTATGGAGATAAATCAAAGTTTACCTGTGTTTGTGTCCATCAGCAGAGTCTGCCTGCCGTTTCCTGAGAAACACAGATTTTCACTCGTTCACAGGTGAAGCAAAACAGAGACCACAGAAAAGCAACATACAGTAAGTGATCACAATACAACAATGCAAAACAGTGAATTGTGTAAATAAACTGTTTATAGTTGTACATAAAATCTTAAAATATTAAATAATTACAGTGCGGTGGAACACACAGATCAGTCTTTTAAAAGGGACAAAGAGAATAAAGAACTCAATAACATCAACAACTCGTAATTCATGCAGTAACAAGTCAAAAAACCCTTTTACCATTAGTTTCATTTGAATCAGCTCCATCTGTGAAGAAATAAAATTTATATATATAAATATACTGTATATAATCACATGGTGAAGAGTTTGTGATGGGACTTAAGATGTTCAGCACAAACAACAAAAACATCAGGTTTTATAGGGCTGAGTAGAATTTGCACTGTAGTATTATTGAAAAACTGTTTAAATTAGACCAGTCACTTGTATCAATTTCTTTCCTAAAATAAAAACAAAAGTATATGTAATGCACGTTACACAATAATCTGAATTCAAAGGTCCTCTTACTGGCTTCCAGAGCTTTCATCTGCATCCCACAGTCTTCATACAGCTTGTATGTAAACACATTATTGTATTACACTATCCAAAAGGTTGACAACAAACTTTAGATGCTCTAATATGATTTTGGTTATGACATGAATGTTATTTGATTTCCAATCAGTTTAACAAACACACTCATCTGATGCTAATCAGTTAGTATGTGACTTGACATTGATTAACCACTTGTCAATTTTAGCTCCATTGAGTTGCTGCCAGTGGGCCACGTTATATGTTGATGATGCACAACTCTATACATATCCGAGAGCTTTTGTTTACAATTGTGCATTACAATTAGATTTATTATTACAATGAAACCTTCAGAGCTTTGCTCTGGGTGATGCTAACACTAGTGTTGGAATATTTATGTTTATCTTTGCACTATTTACATCCATTGAACTGTTTACTCATGTAACTTATTGTCTTCTTTTTCATTCCATCTCATCCCATTGCACTAGTGTTCCATAAGCTTAATGTACCTGTCCATTACTGTAATTTGAATCATAGTCTGTTGTACATCATACATTACCCTACATATCTTACTGTAAATATCAATTGTACATATGCATCAGTGAATTGGTTCTGACAGTACAGACTGTAGATACTCGCACTCTGCACTGCTGTTATTGCACTTTTGGTTAGATGCTAAACTGCATTTCGTTGCCTTGTCCTTGCACATGGGTAATGACAATAAAGTTGAATCTAATCTAATTTAATGTGACAGAATACAAACTGTAATTAGACTGTGTTTTACCAATAAATTGTTTTGATTAAATTTGATCCATCAAACACTGACAGCAAGTACAAGAGTAATACCATAGGCGTTTACCTGTACAGGCGGGCTTACCTGTCTGTTCTCTCTGAGCTTCACTGTGTGATGAAGATGATGAAACTGATGCAAAAAAAGCCTTTATTTTTAGTGTAATATTCTTGTTATATTTTCACAGTAAATGTTTGCATTTTCAGTGCAAAGCTCTATATTTTCTGAGTAAAATTCTCACCTGTGGGGGTGGAGTCAGTACCTGTGGGTGAGTCCAGACTGGAGCTGCTGCTTTGATCAGCAGATGGCACTGCTGTGACAGCTGAACTGATCACTGAAACACAACAGTCAGGCTGATAAATAATACAAATGATCAATAATGAAGACGGGTCAGATGATGTGCAGCAGAAATGTTCCATCTTTATCGTTAAAAACTGACAAATTGCACCTTTATAGAGTTCAGATGAGCAGGTGACAGTCATGTGACCTGTCGGATTACAGTTTTATTGCCTGTAAAAGTTTGAGCGTGTCCTGTTTGCCACTTTAATATTACCTACTTTTCCTAAACTGCCTAATCTGATCCTCACCAGGGCCAGATTAACCTCCTGAGGGCCACTGGGGCAACCATGTGTCGTTGGGTCAGTACAGACCCTCAGTGTACATGTCAGTTATTACCCTAGATGCCTGAATCAACTGATGATCCAGAGCTCAAAAGTTGTGAGTTACCGTCATAGATGTTTTTAGTTTAAAATGTGGTAAAATGAAATGTTCAGTTTCAAAGACACCAGTGTTTTTATAGGAAGTTAACGGTTAATTTGTGACATCATCACCCCGAATGATGAAGTCACACCTGAGCTGTTATGCTCGTTTGAGATGCACTGAGTCTGATAAGTGTACGAGAGCAGCTGGCAGCAGCGGGCGATGGCAGTTTAGGAGCTTTCCAGCAGCCTTCAGTTCGTATAGGAAGTCACAGATACTCGCATCCTGTGAGATCTGATCCTGATTTAATAAAGTGTCATCAAATCAAACTTGTCAGCTTCTACCCAGGGTCCAAACAGCTGCAGTGTTAATGATGTTCTGCTATATGACAGGGAGGGTGATAACCTGCTGATCTACTGTAGTTTCCAGTGTGTTTTATCTTGTGCATTATATACAGTGCATTTTTGTGTATTTTATTTTATTGCTATTAGCAGAGACTGTACATAAAAGATGGATGACACATTACCACTGCCCTCCACTATGCAAAAGTGAAGCCAAAATATTTTGAATACTACAGCTGCCATCTTGCTTTTTGCAACCAGTGTCTATGCACTAGCGACCAGAAGAGGAGTGACAGTATCAGGCCGCCAATCAAAGCTGTCAAATCACCTGAAACACCCCCCTTTTATATAATTTTTATATAATCACATTATTTAATAAAAACAAACTAACCAGGAAAAACACCACTTGTACACACAGCAGCTTTATCAAATCTACAAAATACAACCGAAATCATTTCTGGGAACATTTCATTTGATTTGTACTTTGAGGTTTTAGCTTGGCTTATGTCCCATTCATTAACATGGAAGAGGCAGGTGCAACCAGCCAACAAGAGGTTCTCTAATTTTAGACCAGTCTCTAAATTATCTTTTATGTCTAAAGTTCTGGAGAGAATTGTTTTTATCCAAACCCAGTCTTTTTTGACAGACAGTGGCATTGAGGAGCAATTTCAATCTGGTTTTAAATCAAAACATAGTACTGAGTCTGCATTATTAAAAATCAGTAATGATATCCTGTTGGCTAGGGACCCCGGGGATTCGGTTTTATTGGCGTTTTTAGATCTCACTGCTGCCTTTGATACAGTGGATCATGAAATCCTCTTATCTCGTTTGGAGCAGTGTGTAGGAATTCAAGGTATGGTTTTTAATTGGTTTTGATTTTATCTCACCAATAGAAGTTTTACTGTTAATATTGGTACCTGTTCATCCTCTTCAACAATCCTTTACTGTGGTGTCCCCCAGGGATCTGTGCTTGTTCACGTTTTGTTCTCACTGTACATGCTTCCATTAGGATCTGTCTTAAGGAAATGTGGCCTTTCTTTTCACTGTTATGCAGATGACATTCAGATATACTTACCATTGAAGGCAACGAGAGGGATGTCATTACAGCCATTGTTTGACTGTCTGACAGACTTGAAATCATGGCTGGCACTTAACTTTTTAAATCTTAATGAAAATAAAACTGAGTGTGTGCTTTTTGGAGACTTGGTGAACTTAACTTCTTTTGACCAGGGTCTGGGCCCCATGGCTCGTCATCTGAAGTCGACTGTAAAAAACCTAGGGGTGATGTTTGATGGTGAGTTAAGGTTTGACAAGAATTCAGCTCAGTTGTGAAAGCTTCTTCCACCTGAGGTTGTTAAGTCAAGTTATTCCTTTCTTTTAATGATTTTGAGGTTGCAATCCATGCTTTTATCACCTCCCGCCTTGACTATTGCAATGCTCTATACTATGGTGTTAACCAGTCCTCCCTCTCTTGTCTTCAGATGATTCAAAATGCTGCTGCTCGTGTTCTGACAAGTACCAGAAAATTTTAACATATAACTCCAGTTCTGGCTTCTCTCCACCGGCTTCCAGTCCATTTTTGAATTGATTTAAAATTGTTAATTTTTGTTTTTAAGGCCCTTAATGGTTTGGCACCATCTTACCTTACTGAATTAGTGCATTGGCACAAACCCACAAGGTCTCTCAGATCTTCAAGCCACTTTCTTTTAGAGGTTCCTATGGCCAGATATAAATGCTGGGGTGATCGTGCTTTTACTGTTGCAGCCCCTAAATTGTGGAATAGTCTACCTTTTACTGACCTGACAACTTTTAAATCCTTGCTTAAAACATACTTATTTGCTTTGGCTTTTAATACACAGTAGGGCCTTGCTTGACTCGACCTGCCTCTCCTCCGCCTTTTTCTCCTCTGTTTTCTTGACCTGCGGGATTCTGCACCTCAGCTGTGTTGCATTCGGTAATTAGCGACTTCCTTATTTATACCTCTGGCAGACGCTTCGCCGTCGGCGGAACATTTACTTACCCAAAGTATGTGACAAATTTTGTGTTAAAACCGCATAAATATATGTGTGTGAGAATGCTACGCTGACAGTTACTGTGCGTTTTGGCTTGACCTTATTCACATTATTTATACGTTTCACAAAACGTACCGATATATCAACACTGACAGTCCCTGTGCTGTTGATTTTCGGTTTTTGTTTTGCTACCTTTTTTTTTTCACTTGTTCGTCCTCATCCTCCTGCTCTCCTGATTCCTCCCGTTAGTGTGTATGTGTACCTGTTCGTCCTGGTCTCTGCCGTCATCACTGCCCTTTCCTTGTATGTATTATGGACACTGTTATGTGGTTACTTTGTTGTGTTGTCTTACAATAAACCTCTTGTTTTGTACTAGCACCTGGGTCAGCAATCCTGAGTCTTACCCCTAGTTCTCCCTCACCCTCCTGGTGAGGGGGACGAACCGTAACAGAATGATCCGGCCAACACTGGACTCAGCTGGCTCAGGTGCTAGCTTTACCATAACAGGCCTGATGCATTCCTTTTAATCAAATTTATTAAATGTGTGTCATCTGTGTGTTTGAGTTATTGTTTTATTTTTGCACTGAATCTATTTTATTTATTTATAATGATTTTATTCTGTCTATATAAAGTTCTTTGGTCAACTGGATGTTGTTTTAAAAGTGCTATATAAATAAATTTAATTTGAAGAGGTGATCGACTCATAGCGGCTTCACTTCTAGGAGTTGTCAGGGTGTCCATCATTATATACAGTCAGTGGTAGAGAGCAGCTGCTTCGCGTGTCTCCAAAACCTAGCAGCCACAGCGATCACATGAGAATATCGATGTCCACGTAGGCGTTACATCAGAGCAAGTCAGGATCAAATCGAACTGAAAACAAACCAGCTGAACTGATCGCTGGTGACCGATTCTGGCTTATCTTGACGTGCCTGATGTTTTCTAACTGCTGTATCCACCCCTGGTGAAATAATGTTTGATCTAAAGAAAAAACAGTCTTACCCATCTGGTCAAGAAGGAAGTCGTGACTAGATGGCTCGATGATCCCTGAAGGAGAAGAGGAGTGAGATGAACAGAAAAAGAAATGAGGAAAATCAGCAGTGTGGACAGAAAGCTGACAGCTGAGTAAACAGAATCAATCCCCTTGTGGAAATTGAAAACATACCGTTAATGTAAAAAGAATGTTGAAGTGGAACTGCCTGCAGTCTTTTAACACAAGGGGCTGCATTGGTCACGAGGTGAGGGTGTCATTTAGGCGTGTACGACATGGACTTCTTGTGACAAGTCTGATGACGTAAGTGGCTTCCTTCACATTTCCAGCCCCCAAGGTTCTGTTGTGTTTTGGTTAGCCATGTTGCTAATATACTCTAGGTTAGCCACCAGTTACTACCAGCAGCACGCTGGCACAGAGGAACAAAAACAACATTCAATAACCATGAAAGCTCATGGCGTGTCACTGTGCTGCTTTTTTCACTGGCATTGAATATCAGTGACTGCTCATGCTAATATAATAAACATGGTAAAAGCCTTCCCGTGGGCGTCCGTGTTCTGGCATCCCCATTATGTGATTGGTCAGTGCAGCATCTTTGCAAGACGGTGTCACAGTGCATTGCAGCAAAAACTTAAACGAACTCTCACACATCAACAGGTGGACTGATGCAGAGTCAGCAGAAGGAGCTGATCCTGGAGTGAAGCTCTGCTTTCACCATTGGTCCTCTGATCCACTCCTCAGCTGTGGTCCTGGTTTCAGGGTACCGACTAAAAGAATGAGACCCCAGATGTTGAGTGTCCCCTCATGTTAACTCCGTCTCAGCTTGTCCCTCACACTTCTGTTCCAGGTCAGTTTTGTCTTCAGGTTCTCCTGCTTTCACTGAAGCCCATGTTCCATCACCGCAGTCTGATGAGGATCTTTGTGATCTTGTTAGACCAGAACATTCACAGAGGAACAGCTCAGTCCTCACATCAGCTTGGGTTTGAGGATGGCCCTGACATTGCTGTTGCAGAGACAGACCTTACTGCTGTTACGTCCAGAAGTTGTGGGCTAGTAAAACACAGCCTAAACTTTCAACAGTATTGTCATATCCTTCATGTTCCCTGCTGAATATGACTTTCTTGTTTTTTTTTCTCAGACTCAGAGATCTGAGCCAGTGGGATGTTCAAATTCCAGCAGTTTCACCCAAGCCAAACTGGTTTCATGTGTGAGGGATGTGATGATGAACAGGACACTGGCCTTCCAGGTTATAGGACTGGGATTAAAAAATGAAACTCTGTCATGTTACTTCACAGATCCTGGATCCAAGTTTGCTTCACAGGACACCTAGACCCCTTTAGAGCTTCAGAGACTGGTGAGGAGCTCAAAGGTCCCGGAGGAGGAGAGGACCACTGAACCTTTAGGCTGACAAGAGTTTGCTAAGTGGTCCACCATCTGGTCAGAATCCTTTCTGAGGATGTTCGGCCAAATCACCACAAAAAAGAGCATATGAAACAAATGTTTGACCAGAGTTGCTCCAATCAAACATTTTATTAAAAAGTCTCTGTTTGGAAGAACTCGGTGATCAATAATCAGACATGATGAAGACCTGAAAAAATTATGGCAGACAGACCTCACCTGGACACTCACCTGTATAATCCAGGTGGGAAACTCCACCCCAAAACGAACCCAACACACCTGACAGAGAAAGAGGTAAACGTCTGTCTAAACACCATGATTTCTGTGGTTCCGTTCTGATGGTAAAGTCTTAAAATTTCTTGTCGAACCTCACACCACTGACTTGGAGAAAGCTAATCTAAATTTGTGGATCTTCCCAAACTCTTAAAATTTTTCACAAAAGATCAAAATGCCAAACATATTTTTGTTATGATTTGTGGACTTGCTTCCTGTTTGGTGCTTTTATTTTGGTTAGTTTCCTGTCTTGTATCACCTCACCTGCCCCAGCATTACCCCAGTGCACAATCACCACTCATTGTTTTCACCTGTTGCTCGTTATCCTCTGTTCTCTAGCCTATACAATCTCCTCCTTTCCCTCAGTCTTTTGCTAGTTCATTCTTTGTTCATGTTATTTCTGAAGCCCTGTATATGTTTCCTGCCTTGGCTACATCTGGACTGTTTGCAGCTGCATTTGGACTTACCTGCCATTGTGGATTTTCAGCTTGTGTTTCAACTTGATTGAGCTTGGTTTTGAGTTCATTTACCTAGCTCACTGACTGAACTGTTCATTGTAGATTCTGTCATCTTCCTTTTATTATGCTTTCAGGTTGCACTCCATAAGTTATACCCTTAGTCTTGTGTTCAGTTTCCTCTATTAAAATTCTACGTGAGCTATTCCTTGGCCGGTGTCTGCATATTTGGGTCCTTCCCATGTCTGAAACACAACACTTTTGGTGTTTCAGTAAAGACAATCAGCTCCATTAAAACTAAGCAACAAGGAGGAATTGACAATTAACCTGCATTAAACCCCAGAAATGTAAAAACTGCCTCAGCTACTGGAAATTTAATGCAGGCACTCTACCTCCTCCACACATCAACTAAATTATCTTTAAAAGATGAACTGCAGCACCAGGCCTCGGGCAGGGATGGTATCAGCTCATGGTCAGCCCAGGACCACACTTGATAACAACAACCACAAAGAGCCAACTGTTACACGATCAAACACAAGCTAGAAAAAGTCAGAGGTCGGACAGGAATCGGATCTAGGAGCACATATGCAGGTGGCCCAGATCTGATCTGAGGACACCTGGTTTGGTCTGTTTACCAACTTCAGCTGGGATGTGGACGCAGCTGAAGAGGGGGAAGCAGGTGAGATAGAGACAGGTGGTTGATTGATGTAACTGTTCAAGTTCAGTGAATTTTTTTTTCATTATAAAAATTTCTTCTCTGTTCACCTGTCACTCTTCCTGTAGCCCTCCCCCTTGCAGCTCACCTGTCTGCCTGTCAGCTCCTCCACCTCCTCCGTTCAGTAGCTTCTGTATGTTACCTGAAACACACCTCAACAATAAATTATTTCCTCCTGATTTTCATGTCTTAATGTACACATTTTCCTCTGGAGTTCTGTGTGTATGTATTGTTCTTGATCAGCATGTGCTGACTGATTATTTACCGTTGGATGCTGAGTTGACTCTGTCCGAACCTGCAGACAAATACGTTGTATGAGAATTTTCTACCAGCAAGTTTATTCAATCATTTGTGTATCTGAGTGATCGGTTCCTTTACTCGGGTCCAGGTGAGTTCATGATGCAAAAGTAACTAGAGAAATGCATTTTCTGAGGAAAATGCATGTGGATGCTGAGTGCTGAAGGATTGCCCTGAAAATGCTAAACATTTTGACACCTGAATGGCTTTTCTAGCTGAAAGTATGCTCAAGTAGAATTCTCCCCTTTCATTTGAATGGGGCAAAATTTTCAGAATAAAACTAAAGTATGCTTAGAAAAATTCTGAATAGAATCAGAATCTGCTTTATTGGCCAGGTGCGTCGGACACAGGAGGAATTTCACTCTAGTACATCGGCTCTCAATGTGTATGTACATATCCCCATGCAAGCATAAGGCTGCGTAATATGACAAAATAAACAGTATTTACAAGCAGCAAACAATGCAAAATAAGCAGTATAAACAGGCAGTAAAGAATGCAGACAGACAAGAAATGCTCATTGTATTTTCTTATAAAGTACTTAACTTAAAAAAAATACAGACCTGTATAGAAGCATGAATGTTCTTGAAGAGCTGTATGCTTAGAAAAATTCTGAATAGAATCAGAATCTGCTTTATTGGCCAGGTGCGTCGGACACAGGAGGAATTTCACTCTAGTACATCGGCTCTCAATGTGTATGTACATATCCCCATGCAAGCATAAGGCTGCGTAATATGACAAAATAAACAGTATTTACAAGCAGCAAACAATGCAAAATAAGCAGTATAAACAGGCAGTAAAGAATGCAGACAGACAAGAAATGCTCATTGTATTTTCTTATAAAGTACTTAACTTAAAAAAAATACAGACCTGTATAGAAGCATGAATGTTCTTGAAGAGCTGAACATTTTGATACCTGAATTTTTCCAGCTGAAAGTATGCTGAAGTAGAATTTTCCTATTTGTTTGAATGGGGCAAAATTATCAGAATAATTCTAAATATTTTAAAAAGTATGAAGTTTAGAAATATTCTGAATAGAAGCATGAACGTCCTTGAAGAGCTGAACATTTTGATACCTGAAATAGCTAAAAGTATGCTGAAGTAGAATTTTCATAGTCAGGTACATTTTGGGGCCTTCATGTAAACTAAAGGGTCTTTTATTTTGAAAATTTGAGATGCTATGGGGCCTTATTAGAACATATTTTGAAATCTAGTGCTTTTATTTTGAAAATCCAGTTCATTTTGGGGCCTTCATGTAAACTAAAGGGTCTTTTATTTTGAAAATTTGAGATGCTATGGGGCCTTATTAGAACATATTTTGAAATCTAGTGCTTTTATTTTGAAAATCCAGTTCATTTTGGGGCCTTCATGTAAACTAAAGGGTCTTTTATTTTGAAAATTTGAGATGCTATGGGGCCTTATTAGAACATATTTTGAAATCTAGTGCTTTTATTTTGAAAATTCAGCACATTTTGGGGACTTTATTTGAACATTTATAATTGGGGCTTTTATTTTGAAAAACTGGCACATTTGGGGGCCTTCATGTGAGCTAAATTTGTAATTGGGGGCTTTTATTTTGAAAATATGGCATGTTCTTGGGCTTTCATATAAGCTTAATATTCAAGATGGGCTTTTATTTTGAAAATCTGGCATATTTTGGGGCCTTCATGTGAGCTTAATTTGTAATTAGGGGCTTTTATTTTGAAAATATGGCATGTTCTTGGGCTTTCATATAAGCTTAATATTCAAGATGGGCTTTTATTTTGAAAATCTGGCATATTTTGGGGCCTTCATGTGAGCTTAATTTGTAATCAGGGGCTTTTATTTTGAAAGTTGAGGACATTTTGGGTCCTTCATGTTAGCTTAATTTGTATTCAGGGACTTTTATTTTGAAATCTTGTACATTTTGGGGCCTTAATGTGAGCTTAATCTGTAATCATGGGCTTTTATTTTGAAAATTTGACATTCTACAGAGCACTCGTCACCAATTTATAATTTGGGGCCCTTATCTTAAATATTCAGTATCCTTCAGTGACTTTAATCTGGGGCCCTTGTATTTAATATTCAGTATCCTTCAGAGTGACTTTGTAACGTCCTGAAAACAACTTTCCAGGACAGGACAAACTACCTGACAGTAACAAGGAGCAATGCTCTGAGCTTTGAAAGGAACTGGACATTCAGTTGTTAAACTGTTTACATTGAATCTGTTTTTGAATATTTCAGGGCTCTTATTTTGAAGGCCTGTGTGTGCGTGTGTTGGTGTGTCACTGTGCCACTGTGTGTGTTACTGTGCATCACTGTATTGCTTGGACTGTATATGAGTTTTATTTTGTGTGCGCGTGTTATTGTGTTGCTTTTTGTGTGTGTAAAAGTAGCAGGTGCATCGTTAAGTGACTCAGCAGTTTGAGGACACTGCAGCAGATTTCAGTCAAACATAGACTTAGAACTATTGACAATTGAAGAAAAACTAAGTTTTATTGAAAAAAATCTCTTCACTGTAAGCAGCAGGAGGTTTCAACAACCACGCTGGTCACCTCTATGTCAAGATATTCCAGAAAATGAAGGAGCTGTGGCAATTTACAAATACCCTTAGTTTTGCTTCAATTGAATTTTCTGAATCATTTTTTTCAATGGCCGGCTATGGGAAAGTGATGTGGCACTCTCTCTGGAATGTGCTACATATTTCAAAAACCGTTTATCCTATCGCAATAACAAGGCTGTTTTTTGATTCCTCACAATTTCTTTACCGTTTTCAAGTATAATTTGTGCCTGAAAGCTTAAGGTAGGCAGAGTAAGAGCAGAAAACAAGCTGAAAATTTAAGAAAGGGCTGAAGGACAGAGCTAGAGTGCGGGTCATGTGACACACTCTAACAGAGAAATGTCCAAAATCACCATAAAAAGTAAACTGCGAGAATTCAAAATCTGATACTGAATCAGTATCCACACAATAATAATAATAAAGATTTGGAAAACAGTAGTGTGGATGCTGAATCAGTAGCCACCAAATAATTGACAATAGTGTGGCTGCTGACTCAGCATCCACATAATAAATAAAGAATAGGATAACAATAGTGTGGATGCTGCTGACTCTACACAATAATAATAATAATAATAAAGACCAGGATAACAGTGTGGATGCTGCTGACTCAGCATCAACACAATAATTAGAAAACAGTAGTGTGGCCACTGACTCAGCATCCAAACAATTAAATCATTCAGGTCTCTATAAAAGTCAATTTTGTTTGATTAAATACTCATCAGTGAAAGTTTTCATTGAACACAAGACTCCTATATTTCATATGACGACACCTGAGCAGGTTTCATTTCCTGAGGAAGGTCATGGAATGTGATTGAAAGTTACTGTATTAATTCAGATCATGGCTAAAAACACAATGAGCTTTAATGAGTCCAAGTTGAAGAAAGCAGCTGTTTGAGATATTTTACCGTTAGTTTCAGTTTGAGCAGAACCTGCTGGATCAGCACCTGAAATGAAAAAAATTCATGTTTTACACAGAAACACCCAAATGTTATCCATATATTTTATACAAAAATAAGTTGCTTACCTGCAGGCGGAGCCTGACCAGCAGAGACATCAGATGGCTCTGCTGCTTCTGCAGAACCTGAAGAAGATCCTGAAGAACCTGGGAGGAGATGTGCGTTGGCACAGACGGTAAGTTAAATATTTACACATGTACACTTGTGAGACCTGCTGCCTCTGCCCCTGCTGAGTATGTGTCTTCACATGCGCTGATCTGTCTGGGTTTAACATGCGTTGGGAGAATTCATACTCTTCTCCAGTGTGTTTGTCAATTTAACTGCTGCAGAAATGTAGTGGGCTGAGTCCTCTGTTTTCTAAGCCTGAGAAGCATTGTATCAGATGTGGTGGCTCCTTTGTTAAGCTGGTTAATGCACACTTCATCTGCAGAACCAGGTGGCTAGTAACAACTTAAGAAAAAAACCTTTAATCTGAAAACTACATGCATTTTAAAAAAGAACTACATGTTCAATAA